CGGAACCGAAATCCGAATCCGGTAGCAACAAAGTCAATTTACGGTCAAATTTATGAATTCTTTAAACCTTTAAATTATTAGTTTTCAATAAATTATGTTAGATCAAGTTAGGGACTTTCGAATTCGATTCCGGACATATGTTGTCACGCTCCAAACTCAGGGAGCACGACCGACGATCAACCGAGTGAACCCGGATGAGCAAGCCTATTAGATTTCCTTCTACCCAAATTCATGCATAAATAAGGATAATACATATTTTCGTTAATTAGACAGTAGGGAAATCATGTACACAATACTAAACCATTTCATTAGTTACCTTATTTAATAATTCTCAAAAAAAATACACACACACCTTCATGGTTCAAAGTGGAACTAGTGATTGATCATAACACAACTTATTTAACATTCCCAACACCCATATGCAACCCACACTTAGTCTACGGAGCCTCTAAAAATACCAAAGAGTACAATGATATTGTCGGCAACAAGGCTCCGGCTATACCTCAAAACATGATAACTCATACGAAACAAGAGATGCACAACCCCAGAATGAGATAGGGCTCACCAAGTCAGCTGGGAAGAATGAGCACTGCTATCACTGGTCAATATCCTCCGTTGTGGAATCACCTGCATCCATTAAAGATGCAGTGCCCCTGGCAAAAGGGACGTTAGTACATATCGAATAATACTAGTATGAAAACCAATCACTAATTTAAGAACTCGAAAATACAATATGAACATGATGAACCAGGGTGACAATAGAATAGCATAGGTAGCCGGTTAGCCCAAATCAAGCTTATCAAGAGCTGTCATTAACATTTATAGAATTCAAGATGAGATCCTATGTAACCATTTTCACACAAAGCGATCGTGCCGCCTTACTCCAATGTATGCGGGTGGAGGTGTAAACACAATACTCATTTTTACACAAGAGGTCGCGCCGCCTCACCCCAATATATGCGGGTGGAAATGCATCAACGATACTAATACCTATACAAAGTGGCCATGCCGCCTCACCCCAATATATATATGTGGGTAGTGGTGCAATAATAATACCAAAATCATACACAAAGCGGCCTTGCCGCCTCACCCCAATATATACAGGTGGAGGTGTAACCCCAATCACATTCTCTACATAATTTGGCATAATAGTTTTCCACATAAATCACGACTTGAAATCATAACACGTAGATACACAATCCATAGTGTGGAACAAATCTTCAATTTATAATACAATATCATGAGAGCATTTGAAACGCAAATTAAATATATATCTTTGTCACAAAACTTATTCAGAATACTCAACTTGTAATAAATATCTTGGAACTTACAAGGATATTGGGGTTCCAATTCTTAAAGAAGAGTTTAGCCAACATACCTCAATTGAGCTTCCTTAAACTCTAAAATGATCCGTAATTTTTAGTAACTTCAATCTATTTTAGAAATATAACAAATTGAACCAAAATTAGGAAGATGATCACGGTTCTAGCTCGTTTGAGCATTTTATCAAACACTAGGTGTGCATTAAGATTTCAAGGTCTTTTTATGGAGGATTCCATCATCCCACAACCCACTCTTTACTATTTTTATCTCACAATCTTCCTACACCCTTGATAACACATGCATGCAAAATAAACAACTCCTATACCCAAGAATTATCTTGTTAATTACCCATTCTTATGTAAATTTTAAAATTAAGGACTAGGGTGTAGAATCTTACCTCTAGGATGAAGACCTAGTGAGTTTTCCTTGTTAATCTTCAAAGATTTGAGCAAGAATTTATGGATAATTTATTGAAGATCACTCTCCCACTCTAGGAATCTCTCTCTCTCTCTCTCTCTCTCTCAAAATGTCAGGTTTTAGCTCAAAAATGGACTATGACATATGTTTTAACGAAATAGGATCGGGTTTAGAAACCCTAAAAATGAAGCCCCGGGACAGGATCTGCTATGCGACCGCAGAATGGATATGCGGTTCGCATATCGGCCGCACAATTTGGTGCCAAAAACTGGAAAAAAACTGCCTGGGTCTGCGGTCACTATGCGGCCCGCATACCTATTCTGCGGTCGCATGATGCGCCGCAGAACCTCCCTCCATAAAAACTCCAAGGCTGATTGTGCGATAAAAGTGTGGCCCGCAAAATGGTTGTGCGGTCGCATAACTCGCCGCGAAATTGACATAAAAATGGCCCAAACAGTTGCTTCACTCTGCGGCCATTCTGTGGCCGCATAATAGGCTGCAGAAATGCCCAACCCTGCAAAATATTTTTCTTCAACTCCCCAGCACACTGTTCAATCCAACTCGCCGCGAAGAATTTCTACTATTATTAACCTCTACGCCTACCCCAGCATCACGGAACCCTATTTCTTTTGGGAAAAATTTCACGGGGCCTTACATACGTCCAACTCCCAAATCACAATACGGACCCTCGGGACCGTTAAAATACTGATCCGGGTCCGTTTACACAAAACGTTGATCGTAGTCAACTCAAATGAATTTTAAAGCACGATTTCACATTTTCATATAAATTTTTCCGGAAAGAGACAGGGATTGCGCACGCAAATCGAAGAAGGCTAAACAGAGCTATTCGAGGTTTCGGAACACAGATATGAAGGGTAAAACTATAAATTACCTATCGGGTCATCACAGGGGGAGCAAGGAAACATGTGGACTTGGAGGAAGGGGATGCGGAGAGTAGCATAAAAAAATATTTTTCTAAAAAAATATTTTCTACTATCTAACTAAACACTAGAAAATATTTTTCGAAAAATATTTTTCACTCACCAACCAAATAAGGAAAAATAAGTAATAAAACCACTCATTTTCCATAAAAATATTTTCTAGTCCTTTGTACCAAACACACCCTAAGTAATGTTTGCGGTCTATTTAGCAAGAACCATTTAATTTATTTAGCCCCCCGCAAAACTTCAGTCCCTTTGCAGTTTGCACTATTGACAAAAACCATCAAGATAATATGATAATCAGTAAGTTTTATGCAATAAAAATCCAAACTTTGAAGCTAAACGTCTAATTTATATTAAGAGTGATAATCCAAGATGATTGAAATACCTTAGAACAAGATATGATCAATTGAAATGCCAAATTCTTAAGTGTCTAACTAAATCTTTTAATTTAAGATACTAATAATGAATTATACATGGAGAGAGACGGCGGAAAATAGGGAAAGAGGAGAGGAGAGGGAAAAAAAAAGTTGTAACTGAATCCCCTATTCAAGACACTGATAATAGATTGTATATAAATTGTAAGCAAACCTTATTTCGGGCGGATAATATACAAAATTAGGATAATGTTGACACTGTATAGCCGCTCTCAAAATAATAGCCGACAAATATAAATTATTTATTTATATATATATATATATATATATATATATATATTGTATGTTATATACAAAAATTATATAAATTTTATATACTTTTTTTGCTACCAAATCTAAATAGTTTGTGGTGCGGCCTAAAAGTGAAAAAAGCGAAAGAAAAAATCCCTTCCAGAAAAAAGCATAACAAAGCCTGCGTTGTTAGCAATCCACGGTTTTTGAGTAAAAATGGCGTGGGGTAGCCACTATTTAAGGTGATATTTATTTTTTATCCAACAATTCTAATGTTGAACAAAAATAGCCACTACTCTATTAAAATTAATATGAAAAGATATTTTTATCCTTTTTTCCATTTCTTTTCTTCCCAAACCCTCGCTTCTCTCTCGATTAAGGACAGAGAGGTTGAAAATGCACATGATAATGTCCGTCGGCATGGTTCAGGAAATAGGAGAAGTGTTGGTCTTCTTGATGCTTTTCTAATACCAGGAGTGATTCCATTTGCACTGTGTCTTTTCTTCTCAAAGTTGGTAGCATACACATTTTTGTACTGGTTGCCGTTTTACCTTAGTCAAACAGGTATACCAATAGAGAATTATACCAATAGAGAAACTTATATCATTGGAATTTGGAGGTACAAATTCAGATTGCGGAGTTAGATGTGTCAAGGACAGTTGGTCTTGAACTTAGAGTTGGAAGTTCAAAAATTAAGGATACTTGGTCCTTAACTTAGAGTTACAAACACAGAAATTAAGAACAGGCAGTCCTTAACTTAGAGTTACAAGCACAGAAATTAAGGATAGCTAGTCCTGAACTTCGAGTTCCAAGTTCAAAAGTTAAGGACATGTAGTCCTGAACTTAGAGTTACAAGTTCAAAAGTTAAGGACAGGTAGTCCTAAACTTAGAGTTACAAGTTCAAAAACTAAGGACAAGTAGTCCTTAACTTAGACTTACAAGCTCATAAATTAAGGACAACTAGTCCTGAACTTACAGTAACAAGCTCATAAGTTAAGGACACTTGGTCCTGAACTTAGAGTTGGAAGTTCAAAAATTAAGGACACTTGGTCCTTAACTTAGAGTTACAAGCACAGAAATTAAGGACAAGTAGTCCTTAACTTAGAGTTACGAGCACAGAAATTAAGGACAGGTAGTCCTGAACTTCGAGTTTCAAGTTTAAAAGTTAAGGACATGTAGTCCTGAACTTAGAGTTAAAAATTCAAAAGTTAAGGACAAATAGTCCTAAGCTTAACTTAGACTTACAAGCTCATAAATTAAGGACAGCTAGTCCTGAACTTACAGTAACAAGCTCATAAGTTAAGGACACTTGGTCCTGAACTTTATGAACAGAAGGGTATTTTCGTCCGGACGGGTAAAGTTTATTAAAGTAGTGGCTAAAGTCTAAAGACATTTTAAACAATGGCTTAAAAGTAAATACATGTCTTATTAGTGGCTAACTGTGCACTTTCCCGGTTTTTGACTACGGCCCAATAGAAAACTGTAGAAGGCCGGATGACGACATTTGGGGCCCATAAGGCCCACCTCGAAAGGATATTTCTTTCAGAACCACAAGGCATTATCGCCACCGACGTGGCATTAAACAGTGAAGGGTGTGCGCACTACGCACCCTATTAGCTACCAAAACCCCAAGACATATCTTCCCACTGGCCACGGCCTTTTAAATTTTACACTCTTCAAAGCTAAAAGAATAGTATCAAGTTTTCACACGTCTTTGATGAGCTCATACTTGTCATCTTTACGTTTTTCAATTATCTCCGTCAAACCCTAACAACTTCTATTCCGTCCCCTTATCTTTAATCTCAAATTACGAATCCGCAAGTTTTAGTCATTTGTGGGTCCTAATTTGCAAATTTTACTATTTGGGAGCATCTCCGCGGTTGAAAACGGTTCAATTTGAGCTCATGAGCTAAAGCTGAGTTCTAGAAGCGTCGCTGTTCCTGGTAACTTTCTGGAATCTTCTATTGATAGTTGGTAAAACCTGAGATATACTGTTACTTATGGAATCTAAATTACTACTTATGAATTTGATGAGTAATCTAGGTCAGGCGAACAACGTGATTGTTTAAGTTGTTCTAGATGCTTGTTACAGTTGTACTACCGTTTGATATACCGCTTTCTTATAGAGTGAAATTTTAAGGGCTAATTTGAATATCCAGAAGAAAATTTATTTTGGTGAAGTTTTGGAAATGATGTCTGTGGAGAGATCATTTGAAGCATGGGAAGAGGTGCAAAGACATGGGCAAGACTTAGCTGATAAGCTTGCGCAAGGAGTCACTGGTTTGATTCAGTCGCATATTAGTCCTCCATCGTTTTCGTGGCCTGATCCACAAAGTTCCAAGCTTTTTGATGTAGAGTTGATTAGTCAAAGTTTCATTCCGAGGGATTTTGGGATAGCTGTGGATAACACTGCAATTTCAGGGGTTTCCGCGATTTTTGATATTGGGAACAGATTAGGGCAGGCTACCAAGCTTTTTGATGTCGAGTTGCCAAGTCAGAATTTCATTCCAAGGGATTTTGGGATCGGTGTTGATAATTCAGCGATTACAGGGGTTTCATCAATTTTTGATATTGGGAACAGAATAGGACAAGCTGGAGCAGACTTCGGGGCTTGCTTGAATGGAATGGTTCAGCAGTTTGTCAGGAAGTTGCCAGTGCCTTTTCGGCAAGACGAGAAATTAGGGGTATCTATGATGGCGGGGACGGATAGCCATAGAGCTGATCTGGGTATTACATTGCAGGAGGATTTGGGGTCGTTGGCCGAAAGATTTAGGGGATATGGGAATGCTGAAAAGGATTCAGCTGATGATAGGCCAGGCGAAGAAGAGTTTTTTGGTGTTAATTTGAAGGCATTCAAAAATTTTGGCAGATCACAGGTAAATTTTAGTGAAACACAAAAGGTTTATGTTTGTGTCAAGTCACGTATATGAATTTCTTGCTTTGCAATTATAAACATTTGGTTGATGCAAGAACCTAACAAAGACTTTTGCACTTAGAAGCTACTTTTGCTGCAGTATTTAAAAATATAAGTTTCCATACGTTTGTTCATTGGTAAAAGCTAGTAAATGTAACATAGGTTTTGCACTTTGAAGATGCTTAAGCTATAATGGTGTGGGAAAATGAAGATCTCAGGATTTTTGTACTTTGAATACAAGCATTAGGAAATGTAAGGTGTCTTACGCATAATTAGGCTTTCAATTTTCCGAAATGTTAGTGAGGTGGTCCTCTTTTAACATATAGGTTAAGTGCTAATAGTGAATATGATAAGGCACGAGACCTATAGAAGGGGTTTTATGTTTTCCTAGTTTCTCCGAGGAAAACCGCGGAAAATCCTATGAAAGGAGCTAAGAGCAAACCCTGAAAGTTCTGTAAAAAGAACATGAAACCAACGGCAAAATATTATGGAGAATAACAGGTGGATAGTTACATACTGATGTTTCCAATTCCATTTGAAAAAAAAAAGGATTAAGGAGCTCTAGTCCTAACCAAACAAGGAATCCTTGTAAATCAAGAAACAATTTAAAGGGACAAAAATAGTTTAAATAAATGCTAAAATGATTTTAAAACAATCATCGAGAGGTTATATATAACAGATAAAACGAAATTTAAAACCTTAGGTGATGTTTGGTTGGGAGTTAAGTGGAAAAAATAATCCCTAGAATCCAGATAAAAGTTCAACATTGTATATAGAATGTTTGGTTTCATTTTTTCTTTCTCCATAAAACTTAGCATTATTTATACAATGTTCTATTGTAAGTGTTCTTTTCTGCATAACTATACTTGCATAAGTCATGTGGAGATATATGTAAGAATGTGGAACTAGAGCTTATGAACTAGTGAACTATAATCTCTGCTAATTTGCGTTTGTGGCCTCTATTACTCTTTTACATGTTTATTGGTTTGCTTGCGGCTCACGGCTGGAAGTTTGTCGCATGTGGCCAATGACTCATGTGTTATCCACATATAGCCAAAAGTTTTATTGAACAAAATTTATAAATGTCTACAAGTCGTCGGACACAAAATGTGAGAACTAGATAATGAGGTATAAAATACAAAACATTCCATAGTTGGGCAAGCAAAAGTGTCATTTCTTGTGTATTGCTTATTTTTTAAAATGTATTGGTTGGAGATGTTTCCTTCATCATCAACTAAAGGTTGACGGCTTAGGTTTTTATTTAATATTTTTATATTTTCACATTATAGAGAAGAGTGGGTTGCTCTAGTGGTGAGCACTCTCCACTTCCAACCAATAGGTTGTGAGTTTGAGTCACCCCAAGAGCGAGGTGGGGAGTTCTTGGAGGAAGGGAGCCGAGGGTCTATCGGAAACAGCCTCTCTACCCGAGGGTAGGGATAAGGTTTGCGTACACACTACCCTCCCCAGACCCCACTAGTGGGATTATACTGGGTTGTTGTTGTTGTATATTTTCACATTATACTGCTTTTATATTCCAAGAAGAAAAACTCATACTTCAATCTTCTGAAACACTACCTTCCATATGAGTCTTGTAAGTCTAAAAAGATTTATTGTCACTTGCCGTTACTCGTATGGCTTGGTTTTTAGGAATATAATTTTGAGTGCTTTTCTTATAATAATAATCATTCATTTACACACTCCCCTCCCAAGAAAATGTTCAGTATTGTCGATCTGGTAGGATAAGCTCAAAGCGTAATTAAAGAATGGGCTCAGTAATGGAAGGCACAATGAAGAAAAAAATAAAGGTTATATATGTAATGATGGAAAAAATAACTATAGTAAAAAAAAACAATTATGTGAACAAGCTAATTGAAATACTATAATTAAGTGAAATAGTTGAGGTAAGAACTAAGAAGCACTTGAGTTTAAAAACCAATTTAAAATTTTGATTGAGATGAAAAAATGCAGTCTTAAGTTTCTTATTCAATTTTAGTTACTAGTTTATTAAATCACTAAATTCCTTTTCTTAAATAAGTAGCATTTCATGTATACCCTCCTTTTTAGCCATTCCTTCCCCTTTTATAAGATTGGGGCTTTGAGGCCAGTTGTGGAGGATACTTGCTCTAAACTTTTGTAGGTTCACATGTGATGGGAAAGATGTTGTGATTTATGTTCCTCTATTATGAGTTTTGAGATCTTACTACCTTGATCTCCAAGTGCAGGGTACGATCAATGTTTCATCAACATATGAAAGTAGGACCAGAAATGTAGAAAGTTCTGTGGTTGCCAGAGGAGATTTATGGAGAGTTGAGGCATCACAGGGCAGTTCCACATCAGGAAATGAAAATTCTTCCCTGTTCCTTGTCCAGCTTGGACCAGTGCTTTTTGTCCGTGATTCGACATTACTTCTGCCAGTTCACTTGTCTAAGCAACACCTTCTTTGGTATGGCTATGATAGGAAGGTATGCAAACTGCAACTTTTGAAGATTGTTTGCATTAGAAGTCTTTCAATACTTTTGGGAACCTGAGGGAAAGCGGGTGATCATACTGGTTGTTTTGTAGCTTGTTTTGCTATACAGACACAAATTAGTTATTCATGATAGTGTAGCTTGTGTTGCGTGTAATTGTTGAATCCGATGTCTCAATTGATTGGCTGGGAAGCAGTAGGGTAGCAATATGAATATAGCATCTCTAATAACCGCATGGTTGTAAATGAATTGATCATTTATTTGAAATTCAGATTCAACTGGAAGCATCCTGTGAAGTACTTTTATATTTGGTTACTGTTTTGCCACTACTGCTCCTTTCGCATTGAAGAGAAAACTTAAAATTAGTTAGTGTTGCAGCGTGAAAATGAAGGCGCATTTGGAGTTGGGATGGGTAATGTCTTTATAGTCTATTCCACTTAGAAATTTCACATACTGGTGATGCAGACATTAACAGTAAGATTTTAGATTGTCTGTAGTGTTGATGTTGTAGAGGTCAATTCTCAGGATGATTCTAGTCTCTTATTAAATATAATGATTTCTTCCTCCCCTGAACTAGACTCATTTTAACTTTTTTTTGTGTGCACAGTAATTACGTTAATATACTTAATGTCTCTATTGATCAATGGACAGCGTGGGATGCATTCTCTTTGTCCAGCTGTGTGGTCAAAGCATCGAAGGTGGCTGCTTATGTCAATGATCTGTCTTAATCCTTTGGCCTGTGTAAGTGGAACTTTATATTCATGTAAACTACTGGTATTTCTGCTAATTTGGTTGAATTTGCTGCTGTTTTACCTTTCTTCTAAGTTTGTCTACCATGTTTCCACATAGCTTTTTCTTTATTAGGGAATATTTTTTTTTTGAGGAATCTGTATTAGAGAATTTTACTTTTCTTTAACTGTATGCTAGCTGCAGTCATAGCAGGTAATGTTCCTCTGGCGGCCATGCTTTATTAGGTCTTTAATTGTGTCAATGTCTTTAATTGTGTCAACTGAGATGTGGTCTTAAGATGAAATCAAACCAATACAAATCAGAAATCCACTATCTTTGCTCTCTCTTATCCTTCCTTTTCGGCTTTTCCTTCCATGAGGCACAGAGAGGTTTGGAAACTGGAAAGCTTGTGCAGTTCTTAACCAGGGGCTGAAGCTTTGGTGTAATCTTAGTCAGGGTGCTTTTTGTCCACTTTTCCTAATGTGTATCCCTTGGAATCTACCTTATTGTAGTACACATGGCGTTCACAGGATGATCATTGAGGCGCACTTATGTTCTCTGCGTTTTGTTCACAGGGTTGCGACCCATGACTCTATTGTGAATATGTTTGGGTTCTGAGAGCTATTACTCTTGTTTATTCTTGTTATATATGTTTAAGGGCTCTGTTAAAGGTTATAAGGTGCAGTTGACTGTTTTCTCTTTTTACTTATCGATTTGCTTATTGTGCACGAGTCTTGCTGCTTAGGCATCTCTCCTCCTGGCTCTCCTATCCTTTCCCCCATATTTTCGGCTGTTTGAAGAGCATAATAATATTGCATTGCATTTTCATTTGCCTAATAAAAGGCATACTCCACATTCTTCAGACCTGAGTGTACTTTCTTTTCTGATAAACTTCATTGGTAGGTGGGAAAGTCCTTGTATACAAGTTGTATATGCAAAGTAGAGAACCTGCACCAGTATATGGTTCTCTATAAAAAAGCACCTATAAAGCCAATAATGCCACTTCTCTAAGTGTTTACTGAGAGATCGTACTTCTCCAATATCCCCAAGTCGCTAATTGAGCATTTCTTTTTGCACCTCTTGTGCCATCAAAATGAGGAATGCTCATTAGAAAAGAACGAAGAAGATTGGAGTTCATCAATGACTTCAGAAATGCGACAGTGCAATTGTAGCATTTCAATTAGTATTAGTCATTTGTGGATCCTTCAATGAATATTCCCTTTTTTTTTCTGTAAGTTCCTTCAATAGATATTCTACTGGAGTATCTTCGACTTGATCTAAGAATTTAATTATTAACTCTGTACCCTCCTAGGTATGTTTAACTGTCTTAAATATTTGAAGGCCTGGGAAAAACAGTTAGTCTCAAGATAATTTCTTAACCTTGATGATTTCCCAGTGCTAAATTTCTGATGCTGCTTTGCATTTAGCACATGCTTGTGAAAGACTTGGTGATTGGAGTAAACTTCGGAACCCTGATATTTTTATTCAGGATGGGGTGTTGAAGTATTAATCTTCAGTAACTTGTCTGTTGTTGGTCATGCTAAGTTTAACACAAGCAAGAACATGTAACATAAGTGAGCACGGAAATTTCTCTTTTGCAGAAAATTTTAGTTTTTTTTTGGGTAACCGCGTAATCTGTTTTTTCCAATTTTGAACTTGTGGGGTATGGGCCCGCCGATTTAAACTCAGATGCTTTTCTTCACTGTTGCTTTTGTGGATTTGGAAGCTTAATTACTCAATGTATTTTGTTGCTTAGCAACTTACTCTTTATTTTTGCAGTCGTTTATGGACTTGCAATTTCCAAATGGTCAAATAACTTATGTGGCTGGGGAGGGCGTTTCCACCAGTGCCTTTTTACCTCTATGTGGAGGTCTGCTCCAAGCCCAGGGTCAATACCCAGGGGAGCTCAAGTTCAGTTTCTCTTGCAAGGTGAGGTGCATGATGCAAGGAAGTATTTGACATTTGATGACTTCTGTACTTTTTTCAGCCACCTCATCAACTGTTTTATTTAAGATTAATATACTTTTTCTCTTATTATATGCAGAATGAATATGGAACGTGCATTATGCCAATGATGCATTTGCCTGACAAATCATTTAGCTTTGGGGTCACCCAGGCTTTAGCTTGGAAGAGATCTGGTCTCATGTATAGGCCAACCATTCAATTAAGGTAATACTGGTTGATTCATATTTGTTAAGCACTGAACTTTTATGCTATTGTGGTTTGCTGTTCATGGTGTTGGCACCAGCATCCAATGGTGAAGTGGCACTAGCAATATGGAGACGTTTACTCCACAATTGCGGAGTTTTTTCATTAGAAGTTCTCTATATTTTTATGCAAGGCTTCCACTTTCAATTGCCATAGCAATTTCCTGGTCTCTTCTCCATTATATGTGACTTGCTTGTGCGAGTTAGCAATTGTGTTCATAGCACTTGCATTCTGCTTACATGTACAGTAAGTTATAGTTGTCTTCATCTCTCTTCCTTTTTGATGAAGTATTCTTCATCTCTTCCTTCTTTCATGTTGATAACTACTTTTTGTTAGTATCAACTGCCATCTAATCATTTCTTTTTGGCTATGGTATCAGTGTATGCCCGACATTTGGTGGGAGCAGCCCTGGTTTGCAGGCAGAAATCACACATTCTCTAAAGGAGGAATTAAGTGTCATCTGTGGTTGCACAGTTGCAAGACATTCTTCTGCCTATGCATCGTTAGCTGTGAGT